GGGGTATGATCCCGGTTATCAGTAACGCCCTGGGCTTATACGACCTTATACAATTGGGTAAGGATTTTTGGGCGGGGCTTGTTAATAAGGGAGGGATGGGGGAGTTAAAAAAGGGAGGGTAAAAACGCCTGAAATCCATTTCTAGTATGAAAAATGTTTAATCATGTCCATATCAATAGACCTCCTCGGCTCGGCGTAATGTTGTCCCTTTTCAGATCACGTGCCATTCCCTTGAGAATAATATTCTTTGTTTGAGTTGTATCCATATAAATTTGTCTTCTCATGTGCAACCGAGCGCAAACCTTAAACAAAGAAATGATACTCTAGGGAATTACATGTGGTCTGAAACGTTACAACATTACGTCAGAGCCGAGGAGGTCTATTGGAAATAGTTTTTATGTAACATTTAAATGTGATCAGGAAACTATCATATCTGAGCGGATTGTCAATGTGCTACGATGTTACGTTGTACGGCAATATTTCTTTGATGAAGATAGATGATAAACAGGGGGGGTCTTATCCGGGATTAACCGGGATTCTACGGTAGCTGAATTTAAATACGGCCTTGTTGTAAACAACCACAAATAACATGATCATCTGGAATTGCATGAGTTCATTTTATATTCGATAGGTTGTTTGCTCCATGGAAGTTTGATTACGTTTTTCGTCTGACCACACGTACACCATCTATATATTGTAGATTTCGCATGTCTTCAAAACGGAACGGCACACGTCATCGTCACGATGTCGTTTAAACCCATCACAGAGCAGACATGGCTAATCCAATCAAAACGCCTAGACGCGGTACCGGCACGATCACGGCACGGTAGTCCGAACCATGAGTTTTTCATCTCTTTAAAGCCATACGAAGCTCGCTCTATCCCCGTGAGAGGCGCACGTAAAAGTAGAATCCATTGGAATAAACTATTTCAAGTCTTTCAACTGAAGCCTAAACTTGATCATGAGGTCCCAAGAGTATAACGCATGCAAAAGCCACTCAAGGGCTTTCTCGTTTTTACATCGTATAGTGAAAAAGTTTTAGCATGTGCTACCTGTGGTATCTTTGGAAGCAAATGAAGGCCCTTCAAGCACGTGATAAAAATGAGGAAGATTGTCATTCTTGACAGGTTTGTTACCAGGCTTTTCTGGTTCATGATAATACGGAGGAGAACTGGATCGAGGAGTCTGCAAATGCGTAAAAGAATATAATACATCTTATTTTCATTATTTTTTTCTTTTAATCACGGCAGTGCTAGTTTAGTATTAAATTCTTTTTTTTTTTTTTTTTTCCTTCCAATTTTTAGGGACTGAAAATGTAACACTGGGATATGAACATATTAGGCAGAATTTTTCATACATTCTTTTAATCAAAAAGATCCGATGCAAATTGCTCTCCCCGCTCTTCATGAATACAGAATCATATCCTTGCCTATCATGTTGTTGATCATAATAGCTGGGAGCCAATCAAATACATTGTATATACGTTATTTCCACGCATGCGCAAAACTACAAATTCTGTAGAAGATTGTATCATCGCTTTCGAGATTCTTCAAAAATTCGAGAAATCTAAAAAATATATATATCGTTACCACAACAACTGATGGTTCCTTACCTGCGCGTCGTCCTTGCCAACGAGTGGGTGGTAATGTGGTGTGCTTGCTATGGCTTGGAGTAGATTATGGTATTCTGCTGTCTTATTAGCCTTATTACTGTTTTTTGCTGGTGTTGTATATACAGGACTTTCAGCATGATTTACACATTGGTACTCCTTTACCTCGTTCTTAGTGGTTGGTGATTCTATGGTGATATGTTTACCTGACTTTTGACGTAACTCTTTGGAAAGGACGAAAAAAATATACGTGAAAATATGACACCTTGATCAAAAAGAGAGATGTCAAATGTAGCACTGGCGCCATGAACTTACCAATCTTTTTTCCTCTCTTTTTTTTGCTGTACTTATTTCTAAAGTCGAACAAAAATAAACTTCAATTAGCAAATGAAAAAACGAACTTCTCAACACGAAACTTAGTCTACGAGCAGAACCTTCTTTTATCTTCTCTATGGATGAATTTTCGTATGTCGGAAATGAAGGGAGTCTCTGTCAGTGTGGCACACGAAACTATAAGATGAACGTAAATGGAACCTTCTCAAAAATGTCTTGGATGCGAGGCTAACATGGAAATACAATTGAAATGCCACAAACTCCATCGAGAAAAAGTGTGATTCCTTTTGTATTTTCACGAGAAGGGTCCTTAAATTAGGGATTTTAAACCTTACTTTTTACACAGTCCTCTTCGTTTCCTCACACACAGGATAACCACACATATCAAAACCAGGAAAATCAAGGCGCAAATGACTGAGACAATGATGATGATTGTTGCATTGCTCGATTTCTGTTTCCCTCTGCTTTCTACGTTTGTTGGAGCTCCAGTGAAGTTTGTTGAAGGAGTGGTACTTGGTCTTGTATCTGGATTATGGAATGAAAGGGAAAAAATATGTTTTTATACCTTTAAGTACTCAGCATAAAACAAGGTCAAAACAACGCATGCATCGAGACTGGAGCCGCACGACAAGGCTTTTTAATCAGCTTTATTTTAACACAGAATACTGTTACGTGCAAGGCCCGAAATATTCAGTATATTCGAAATATATAGTTCTGAGATAAATGAAAGCCTATCATCTCGATTTGTATTATTCCCATATGGAAAACTTTATGCACGGTAGTGTGTGTGAAAAAACGTGGGCCAAATAGTAATGAATTGACCTAATTCACCATGACGTCACTGCTTGTTTATGTGGGGGATAGAATCGCCAATTCCAATAGAAAATTCAACAAGATTTGCTCCTAACAAAACAGTTCAATCTAAAATGGCCTGGTTTTCAGATATAATATGTGTTAATATGTACTAAAAAATATTCTGAGCGTTTGTTGACTATTCTACTTCTCTTCGTGGGTTGATACGGGTTTTAGAACAATTTTCGATGAATTTGCGTTGATTTGACCCCCTCCGACGACCATGATCCATTTAAACAATCGATTGTTGAAGATTGTTTTGATGTGACGTCATAGTGAATAATGGCAATAGCCCACTTCAGAGATGCGCTTCGCTTGTCAAGTACAAAGGTTTCAGTATGAGGCTCCGTGATAAATGCTCAGTCATTCGTGACAAGAGAAAAGAATAACTTGAATTTAGCACTGAGCCTCCAACTGAAACCTTTTTACTTGACAAGCGAAGCGTATCTCGGAAGTGGGCTATTGGCCCACACACTGTGGCAAATGGAATTTGTTTATTTGATTAACTTTTTTTTCGGCGGGAACTTTTTCCTTCAGATGAAAATTAATCATTATTTCGTCTTTTCCTTACCCATCTGTGTTCCTTTGACTTTGAAAAGCAAACAGGATTCCACGGGACCTCTATTGTACTTCCTGTAGCACCTAATATCTAGTGATAGTATGTCTCCATGGTAACGACTAGGAAGAGTGTTATTCCACTGTCAAAGGAAGAATCAAGCAGTGTTATCATCTGAAGTTATTTATTGTTATTACTAAAAGATAGCTTTCGAGAATTTCAAGAATCTTGCTAACAGACTGCGATTGTTTAGACGTAATGCATGTTTGCATATATTTCAGACCACGCGTCATTCACTTGAGTATCAGAGAAAGAACTCAGTGTAACCTGCATGAGCTATCATTGATGCAGTCAATCAGCCAATCAGAGACCGATATACTTATCATCTGCGATAGTAAATTATATTCTCACCTTTAGAAAAATGTTAACGCCCTGGCTCTTCTCAACCGAGAAAATATCTTGGTCTACCGACCCTACCCCCCACAGGTCCGTCCACTGACTATTATGATATTGGGCTCCACTCAAGACTGAGCATGAGGTTATACTCCAAGAGAAGATACCACAGACGTCAATCATCTGACTACCGCTGACAGTCGTATTCAAGGCGTGCAGGCGCAGGTTGGAAAATAAACATGGCTGTCGTCCACGAGGTCTGTTGTCATAGTAACTATTCGGGACCAGACGAAATGAGCAACCTATTACGAAAAAAATTGGTAAGAAATTTAAAGTCGCATTTTTGCTAAAGCGAAAGCAGAAGAACGACTGAATGACGTCATGCGATTGCTATTTTTGGGAGGGAAAATGGCGCTCCTTAAAATAGATAAAAACAAGAAGCGGAATTAAAAAGAAATTCATATTGCAGTTTCGGTTTGGATAACATTTTGTGGTTGAAAGAGTATAAGCCAAAAACAATAAAATGGTGGATATTTCGAAATTCCAAAGAAACCATTGAAATGCATTACAAAAAAAGTAGCAAACGCGTACTTTTATAGTTAATAATTTGAACTGAGAATTCTTTTTCTGTCTGAATACTCTTTTGATTTAAATAATTCTTTAGACGGACCGGCTTTCTCATTCCAACGCCTCACCTAATAACCTCTTAAAGTCACAAACCTCAGAATTATCCAAGAAATTAAAGCTTTGTTATTGAAATTTGAAAATATAAACCATTTCAAGATCACGAAAGAGCACAAAAATCCAATCAGAATTACAAAATAATGTAAAAAGAATTATTGTGTAAAAATAACACAGAAATTWTGTTGTTTTTCCTGTCTGGCTTGGTTTCTTGTTTTGATCATGAACATAAGTGACTCACTAATTTGTAACTGATAGTCTATTATTATCACACAGCAACATCTTCAAAACTACTTTTTCTTTTATCTTCATTCATGAACATCTTGTTCATACGAATATGTCAATCTTAAATTATTACATGATGATCGTTATGTGACATTCCTTCTCTTCCTAAACTGACCACTTTTATCCTATATTGGCGAGGTTTGACAAAAAGCCAAGAGACGAAACGAGTTCGGCGGTGGATTAGATGATTTTCATTCGTGTCAATACACGACATTTTGAACAGAAAACCATTTTGGTCTTGACCAAGAACCACAAAGCTACCCCTCGTGGATTTTAGACAACCAAAAGTATGTAAATGGAAAAAAAGTTTCTGGATTAGGAAGGGAAATATTCAAAGAGAAATCGTGTTTACTTAAGCCTGCTTGTGAAGAAAGGGCATGATATAGCGCTAAATTTGGTAATAGTTCGATGAAAGAGGTCAAAGTTTCTTAAGTAGGAAATAAAAAATAAATAAAATTGTATTTGTACAAATAATTTTAGGTAATTTGATTACAACAGAACAATTGTTTAGCTTGATTCGATTAAGATTTCCTTCTCGCTTGATTCAATTCCACGGGAAAAACAGTTAACTTCCTTGGCTTTCAAAATGTGAAACCATAACTACCCAATAGACGATGATGAAGTATAACACTCATGTTATTGATATCACCGTGTGTGTTTTGGCAATGACCAATGTAAGCTTACCTTGATTCAAATTATGGAACAACGCAGTCGTCAAGTTCCCGTTCGAAATACATCGTTTTTCGTTCCTTAGATAAGTCGACCTTTCGCCAGAACACACGCACTCTTTACAGCAATTCTCAAACGAAACACATTTTCCTCCAGTTTTCACGTTATCGTAAATCTCGCAGGATGTTCTTACAGTTTCTTCACACACATCACATTTACTGACTGGATTGCTAAAGATGTCACCATCTGTGTTTCTTGTTATATCTACAAATGATTCCAATCTAGATAACTTGAATAAACAACTCCACAAAAGGAAAAACAGCACAGATCTTGAAGCCTTCATCTTTTGACTCTGGTAGCGCGCTGTCCCGTTGTAACTCGTCTTCTGTGTACATTGATAACACTTCTTGTTTTCGTCACGTGTTTAAGTATTTTTGGCAGGCCTTTGAAGTATTAAATACAGATGCTCTTCTGATGGATAAAGGCATTTCCGGTTTTGCCAGACACAAAACTTTATTTTCTATATTTTCCGTCTTTTTTATTCAGAATAGCAGAACAAAGGAGATGAATGCCATTTCTGAAGTCGCGTATCTTTGACGTACTTCCAGAAGAAACACTGTCAGAACGAGAATCAGAATGTTTTGAGAATCCGGCCGGAGATCACCCGGGGTGCCGGAGAAGCTGGCCCACTTTCTTTGAGAAGGATGGTCCCGATAAAGATATCAATTGAATATATAGGAGACCCGAGGGTAAGTTCTAGAACCATCCCTTTCGGCTACCACCCACATGGGTGGGTCACGAGAGAATGTCTTTTTCAATACGACGTAGTAGATTGTGTAGGTGACCATGCCTTGCTAACGAGGCAAAAAACTGGGGAAATGTCTGTTGAATGACATGTTTTTTAGTAGAAATCGTGTAGTAAAGTTTTTAAGTGAAGGCGTTATACATGAGTGAAGTGCTATGAATTGGCAAAACGTTAACTTTCGTCGGGGTTTGAGATATTCATAATATTGTTGCTAAACCTAGTTTTTCTCGCGTGAGCGAACAGTGTAAAGGTCAATAACCCATTTAGTATTAGCTACAGCATTACTGAATTATTTCCTCCCCTCCCCCTACCGTAATCACCCTCTGTGCTGCTACGCAGGCTATAGCCCACTAGAACGAAGGTAGTCACACTTCAGTTGACCAATCAAATTACGTGTTTTTTCTTAAAAATATTTTTGCAAAATATAACATTACACGAAATAGCATAAATTGCCATTTAATCACAGGTAGCCCAATCTAGGTTACTGTGTTGGCATGTGATAAGAAAATGTATGACGATACTTAAAAATGTCAATAAAATCGTCAAAAGGTGGAATAAAGTAAAGAAATCTTAGCTGAACTTTGAAAAGTAGTACCTCTTTCGCCCTGTGTACTTAGATTTTGGATGAGGGGAAAAACGTTAAAAATCATTAAAACGTTTATAACATGAGACCACGGGAACCTAGCTTGGGCTACCTGTGATTAAATAGACTGAGATTAGCAAAATCGGATTTTTTTKATTCTAAAACTATATTTTTCGTAATAAAAAGTCAATTGCTGTTTAATTAGATAACTAGTATGCGCATACTTTGCAGAATTTTTATATAAAGTAGTTTTTAGCAGATATCATATATAACAATTTATAAGTGCTGATCGCTTTTTAAGCTTTGTGAATATAAGCCTCGAACAATAGATCTAAAATATTTACAGGTTTATTAATAATGCAATACCATCGCTCATTTTGAATAGGACTGGGGGAACTGGGGAGACGAGGAGAGCTAACGCCTTACCTTCCCTCTTCCTCTCTACTTCCTCCACCTTGACCCGTTACCCCGTCCGTCCGTTCCCCTACCTTACTTTCCACACCTTGGATGGAGACTAAGATTTGTAAAATCTATGACGGCGACGTCAACCGGAAGTGTAAGTATTTTTTGTTTGATGCTCTGTTCATTAAAGATTTTATTCAAAACATTGTCAGTGAAGTCAACTCATCCACATGGAATACAGCTTTGCCAGGCGCGAAACCCCAAAACGGAGTTATTCAAACTTCCGGTTGACATCGGCGTCGTTGATTTTGAAAACCTTAAACACCCTAATATGTCTGCTACGGCGCCATCTAAACAGTTTTCTTTTTTTGCTCGACCAGCTCGTATGCCGAAACTGGACACTATATGGAAAGGAAAGCAGCCGAACATGTTTTGGTAATATTTTTTCAGTAGTTTATTTTACTGATCTACTCTATGGAAGCTTAATTTCAAAACATTATGAATACCTAATTTCTATTTTAGTCAAACGTTCGTTACCACGATTCCGGCCATCTTCGTATTGTTTTCAGAACCTTGTTCTTCTTCGAGATCATCCTTACTTTTCGTCGTTTCTTCGAGGCCCTCCTTCTCTTTAAGGTCATCAGGGTCGTCAGGGTCCTTATTTGTAGGTCCATCGTTGGCTTCGTCCTTCTGCTTGAGTTCCCCTTCTGCTTGATCTTTATCTCTATGTTCTTCATCCGTAGAATCTTTTGGTTCTTTGCTGTCAAGGTCATCTTTATGCTCATTATCAGGGCCGGACTCTTCTTTAGGTTCGTCATCTGCATTGTCCTCGTCTTTCTTTTTCTCGTCAGTAGAAGCGTCATCTTTTGGCTCGTTATCTATAGGGTCTTTTAGTTCTTTATCATTAGGGCCTTTTTCCTCAGGCTTATCATCGTTAGGGTACTTGTCTTTAGGTTCGTCATCTGCATGGTCCTCGTCTTTCTGTTGCTCGTCAGTAGTAGAAGCGTCCTCTTTTGTCTCGTTTTCGATAGGGTCTTTTGGTTCTTCATCTTTATGGTCTTTCTCCTCAGTTTCATCATCAGTAGGACCTCTTTCTTTAGGTTCATCTTCAGTAGGGTCTTTATCTTTGGTCTCATTATCGACTGATTCCTTCTCTTTAGGTGCCTCATCATTTGTTTCCTTTTCTTTATCCTCAGACGTCACCTCACTTGACCCACCAACACTCTCTTCCTTGGGATCACTCTGTAGAGTTTCTGATAGCTTATTGTCTCCTGAGTCATCAGTTTGGGAGTCCTTGCCTTCTTCTTCCTTTTCTTCGTCTTGTGTCTCTTTCGTGTTTTTATCTTCATGCTCTTGGTCTTCAGTTTCTTCAGCATCAGAATCTTTGTTTTTCTCGTCTTCCTGTAGAGCAGCACTTTCTCTCGATTCCTCTTCCCTCTCATCTTGTGGTTCTTGCTCTTTTTCATTTGGCTTGCAGTACAAAGAAGGCTCTACCTGCACCTCAATGGCGACCTTTTCCCTTTTACTTCGTTTCAAAGCATCCTTTTCTCGTTTCTTCTTTTCCTTCTCTTCCTTCTCCTTTCTCTTTTTCTCTAACTTCTCTTGCTTTTGCTTTTCTTTTAGCTCTTTTTCTTTTTGCTTCCTTTCTTTTTCTCTTTCTTTCTTTTCTCGTTTTGCCTTTTCTTTCTCTTCCTTTTCTTTTGCTTTCTTTTCTTCTTTGCTCATGGGCTTTGGGATGACAACAGGCATCGCGGCTTGCCCCAACTTCTCTTCTTCTTCCTTTTCCTTTTCTCCATCCGGTTTGTCCTTGGTTGCACTTTCTTTTTCTTCTTGATCTTCACCTGTTTCCTTTTTCTCTTGCTCATTTTCTCTCCCTTCTTGCTCTTCTCTCATCCTGTCTTCTATGTCTTCTTCATCCTCCTCATCTTCCTCTTCTTTCTCCTTTTCCTCTTTATCCTCTTTTTCCTCTTGTTCTTTTTCTTTGTCGACTTTAGGTTCTTCTCTTTCCTTTTCTTGATCTTCGCCTGCTTCTTTGCTTACTTTTGCCTCCTCTTCTTTCGCTGTGCCCTCTACTTCTTGTCCACCTTCTTCCTTTGTTGTTTGTTCTTTATCAGCTTCTTGTTCCTTATTCTCTTCACTGTGTGCCATCTCTGCTAACGTAATGAAAGCCAATGGATCCATTGTCATTGATGAACTTGTGTCATCCTTTCTCTCTTGGCCATCTTCAAATCCATCCACAGCTGCCTTGATATCTTCTTTTTGACCTTTCTCTTCTTCCGAACTTTTCTTGCCATCCTCTTCTTCATCTTTCTCCTTTTGATTATCTTCAGCAGAATCTTCTTTTTGTTGTTTGTCCTTTTCTTCTTCATTTGTCTGTTCCTGTTTATCTGCAGAGACTGGTTCATCAGATTCGTCTTTTTTGTCTCTTACTTCGTCACTAGTATCCTCTTTACCAGATTTTTCGTTCAAATGCTCAGCTTTAGTTTCTTCAACTTTGTTTTCTCCTGGTGTAGCTGTTACTAATCCTGTCATTTCAAGCGACGGCTTGATTTCTTCTTTTTCTTTGGATTCTTTTTCTTTCGGATGCTCCTCTTCTTTTCCTTCCTTTACAGTTTCCTCCTTTGCAGTTTCCCCCTTTGCAGTTTCATCCTTTTCTTTTTCTTCCAGATTTTCTTCATGAACATCAACTTTAACGTCTGCTCCGAGCTGTACATTTTCAATGTCAACTTTGGCTTCATCCTTTGGCTTTCCTTCCTCTTTTTCGTCTTCGTCTTCTTTCTTTTTCTCGTCATCAGTTCCGACCACTACAACAGCAACAAGTTCATCTTCGTTCACGTTCTCTTTCTTTTCTCCCTCGGCTTCTGCTTCTGCCTCTTCCTCATTTATTACCTTCATTTCCATTAGATTTGCAGCGGCATCTTTCTTGGCTGTTAAGAAAATAAAATTGTACTTACATTGTAGTATAATGCGTACAATTTACAAAATAGTCCCCTTCACAGTTCCCTGCGCCATCTTGAAAGGTAGCCGTGACGTGCCTTTGCATCGAAGCGCGAAGAACAGTTAGCTTGCAATGATAAAGACATGTGAATAATTGTCCAAGGAATTAAAAAAGGTCTCTATCATTGCAAGCTCGCCATTCGCTTCGCTTAGATGCAAAGCCACGGCTACCAGGGAACTGTGAAAGAGACTATTAATATAAATTCACTTTTTCAATATTCTTTTGTATTCTGATCTAAGGCTAACAGACGAGGTTAGACTTAAATACAGTAAACACATAACTTCAAGTTCAAATTTACTCTCGAATAATCATGTTCCGTTCCAAGTGATAAATCTCGGTCCCAGCGATGATCCATGAGGAAACCCCAGGTTCACCCGTCATCCATTTCCCCAATACCATGTTGGTGATTCTATTTCCTAAACCCAGTAACCTAGAGATGACCCCTGGAGAAACCCCATTTTCACCTTTCTATTTCCCAATTCCTGTGACCTACTGAGGAACCTTTGAGCAATACCATGTTGGTGCTTCTATTTCTCATTCCCAGTTATCTATAGCTAAATCCCAATATATCAAATCATAATAAGCAGCCCTAAAGGCACCTCATAAAGTTARCAAAATCTCTGTTGTTGACATACCATCTGGTATATTTTCCAAGTCCATGCTTCCTCTTCTCCTACAAAAGTAATGAAAAGCAATTAATATCTAAATATTACTTCAGAGAATGAACTTCGGAATGATATTTTTGTACTGAAAAGTCTTCTTCTACTAAGCATCGTATTGCATCGGAAGCAAATCAATAATAATAATAATAATAATAATAATAATAATAATAATAATTATTATTATTATTATTATCAACTCGAAATGATAACCTTGTCCTGAAACGTTATTCCTCCTAATTAGTTATAACAACTTTTAAGTTGTTACGATACCACTGAACAAACGTTTTTAAGTTTCACTGAATTGATTTAAATGTTTTGTTGCAAAAATATGGACTGATCTAACATTGGCCACAGTGTAGTTGAATATCACTTAATATAACCAAATAACCAAAGGAAAAAATGATGTAAGAAGCTACTTGCTCTCGTGACCACCAAAATAACTTTTCACACGTGAGACAAACAGCACGGGCGAATTTGTTTTGGCAGACCCCTCCGTGTTTACAAGTAAAAGACAGACCTAAGTCGATGTTCATCAAAGGAAAAAAATATGTAGTTTACAGTACTAACGTGTACGAAATGCTAACTAGGAAACAGAGTTCAAGCTTGGTGTATAAAGCACAAATGATGGCCATAATAAAAGTAAAGACAATGACTCACTTTGCAACATTGAGCGCGATATTGCAGGCAATGCCGCTGAAATAGAACCTTTTTCTACTTCAATAACACGGCGTGCAACAATTACGTCGTGTGACGGGCTCTGAACATCGATTGCCTTCCATATTACGAGCAATGTAGCATGGTGTCGGTCGGTACTTAGGTTGAACACCATATAATAACAAAATGTATACAGTTCAGCTGACCATTTGGATGTTAGGCCTTAAAAAAGGTTAATTTGAATGGCCACATAACATTATGGATAACATTAGGCTCATATACAGCTACTTAGTTGAAATGCTGCTTAAAGTTGGTGGGTGACTTGTATTCATCCCTTTTTGATAATTATGTTACCTACACGACCAGCACTAACATTCACTTACCTTTGTTTCCGGATTATTTTGAAAAGGATCCATCCCAACACGATATCAATGGCGAAAAACAACACACATAAGAGAACGATAAGGACGATAACTTCGGTGGTGATTGAATGCTCACCATCTTTTCCACTCAATATATGTGGAGTTGTAGTCGTTCCTACGACTGGGTGTGTTACTGTTGTTGTAGCTGTTGTTTGCGTACGTTTTGGTGTTGATTCCAACGATGTTGATGGTGTCGTTGACGGAGTAGCTGGTGACGATTTCGCCAATGCAGTAGTTGTTGATGCTGCCGACGATGTAGTAGATAGTGATATAGCCGTTGATGCTGTTGTTGCCGCAGTTGTTGTCGATGCAGTAGTTGATGATGAAGTAGTCGTTGTTTTGGCAGCTGTCGTTGCAGTAGTTGTTGGTGAAATAGCCGTTGTCGCTGCAGTTGTGGTTGCAGTTGTCGATGCAGTAATTGTTGTTGTGGCAGTTGTTGATTTAGCAGTTGTTGTTGCAGTAGTTGATGGTGAAGTAGTCGTTGTTGTAGCAGTTGTGTTTGCAGTTGTTGTTGCAGTAGTTGATGGTGAAGTAGTCGTTGTTGTAGCAGTTTTGTTTGCAGTTGTTGTTGCAGTAGTTGATGGCGAAGTA